TGGGGGTGCTCACTGCTCAACCCCTGGCTCTGCCATAGGCCCTGCCCCCATTCCACCCCCTCCTCTGAGCCTGCAGTGCCCTCACTCCTCCCCCTGCCCCTCCAGAGTCTCCTGCATGCCATGAAACAGCTGATGGGGAGGGATGGGGAGGTGCTGATCGGCAGGGCTGCCAGTGGGTGGGAGGTGCTGGGAGCAGGGGGAGCTGATGGGGGGCTGCTGACGTATTACCATGGCTTTTTGGCAATGTACAATTCTGGCTCCTTCTCAGGCTCAGGTTGTCCACGTCTGGTGTAGATGCTTCCAGAATTCTGTCAACATAAGCTGCTTTGCATCAGCCTAACTGTAGAGACCAGGCCTAAGCCAGCCCCCTACAACAGCTCTTTGTTATTGCTTTAGTACTGCTGCCATAGAACCTATGACACCTACCTCATTAACACCACTTCTTGGAGCACACTGGGTTTTTCCTTGGTGGTCTCCTATTGTGAGCACTGATTTTCACTTGTGTGATTTAACAAAATCAGTTAAAGAGAGAACTGCTGCTCAGGAGGCAGCACGGGGAATTACAGAAAAATTCAGAATGGGTGGAAGATATACCCCAACCTAGTGCAATATATGCTTATTGCAATGCGCTCTTTAGTTTCTTTGCACTGTTCACTTAGTACTGTGTTCTGGGTGCTGTGAAACACCGTCGTAGGAAAAGTTATACTGTTAAATGTTCACTGTTCCTGTAAGCAAGACATCATGTCTTTTTTATGACAACAGATCCAACTTATACAGTTGGGGACATGAGGGACAAAAGCAAACCCCCAGTCTTACTGGAATGGATAGATAGTGGATGGTTAGAAGCCTTAGAGCCCTATTCCTCTCTGTTAAGTGCATAGTGTTCTTCACAGAGCAGCTGAAGTGGTCAGGTATAGGGCTGCTTTTTGTCTTTCTGTGCTCCCCTGGTCTGCTACACCCACAGAAATGTACAATCCGCTAGTTTAGGTGGCTGGTGGTGGCAGAGCATTCTACAGTTTATCATCAATGAGGATTCCTTCACTTCCCTCATTTGTTCACCAGAGACCGAGTTTATTAACCTTTCAGTCATGCTGTAAGAGCTATTTGCTTACCAAAGTTTTGATTTAGTAGGATGCATGGTTAGGGGAAATAGAATGGGCTAGTTTATAGTCCAAAGGGAACCAACTGAAGGCACTAGCTTTGAGAGGTTGGTCCTGCCTGTGCAAGTACCAGAACAGCAACTACTTCCATTTTTAATCTCACTGAGGCCTTATTTTATAGGCACTTTCTAGAGAAAATAGAGTGTTAATTACTGACCACTAGGTTTTTGAGTAAGACGACCTTCAGAACAGCACAAGCCATTTGACCATGCCACAATCTTGCACAATTAAGATTCTTAATATATCTTAATTCTTGTATTTGTTTATAATAAACAGTGCAACAGAAACATTAAAAACAAGTAAAACATTGTTTTAGTTTTTAAAAAACCCATTCCTTCCAAGTTCCTGCAGCAATACAGGTGCTTGTGGTGGGAGAATTTTCATATTGGGATTTGTGGGGTCTAACTCTCAACCTAACCATAAACCCTACTCTACGTCCCACTGTATTTTACTACTGTTTGAAAAGGAAGGAGACAGAAGTTAGAGAGAAAATTAGAGCGTCCGCTATCAGAATACTCCTGAAATTGATTTGCCAACCATTTAAGCAGCCGCATAGTTCCCTCCCCCCAAGATAAGTAAAGCAATTGCAGCACATAAAGTTTTCTAGACTCTACTTTTAGGATTGCAGTTTGAAAGCAGTTATGGCTCAGCTAACTAATGACAGGGGCAAGGAACAGGCAATTAGCCAATGGGTTTGGGGAGGAAAAAAAGAAAAGAGCCAACTACTCATGAGTAAGGTTACACTCAAGTGTAAATGGATCGAGGCATTAGACTGTAAGCCTTCAGGTCAGGGATTCCTCTTCCCACATGACTAAAATGTCTACCACATTTTGGCTGCTATAAAAACAAACACAGAAAATGCACTGGGACTTGTTAAAGTTGCCAATTATGAGCGTCATCAGTCAAAGTTGCAATTGGTTACACAGCAAACATGGCTACCAGCTCAAGTACGGTTTTGAAAAGTTGCACTGATCATTTTAAAAAAATGTGAAATCTGCTCCAAATTAATCAATTGCATTGATCACTGAAACCTGTTCATCTCTGGCATTCCAATTCCCCTGACTGCGCCCCGCTGTCCCATCCAACCCCTCCTCTCATTCCTGACTGCCCCCCCCAGACCCGTGCCCCATCCAATCACCCCTTCTCCCTGTCCCCCTGATCACCCCCGGAACCCCTGCCCCTGACTGCCCCCCGCCACCCAATCCAACCCCCGCTCTCCTTCCTGACTGTCCCCTGGGGACCCCTTCCCCCATTCAACCCCTCCGTTCCCCACCCGCTGACCACCCCAACCCCCTGACCACCACCCCAAACTCCCCTCCCTCTTTACCGCGCTGCCTGGAGCACCGGTGGCTGGCAGCACGGCCAGAGCCCAGGACAGGCAGCCGTGCTCCCTGCCACACCACTGCGCAGCACAGAGCACCGGGTCAGGCCGTGGCTCTGCAGCTGTGCTGCCTGGCAAGAGCTCGCAGCCCTGCTGCCCAGGGCATTGAGCGGGCGGCAGGGCGAGCTGAGGCTGCGAGGGAGGGAGAACAGTGGGGGAGGGGCTGGGGGCAAGCCTCCCTGGGCAGGAGCTCAGGGGCAGGGCAGGAGGGTCCCATGGGCCAGATGTGGCCCGCGGGCTGTAGTTTGCCCACCTCTGCTCTAGACAGTATTTTAAAGTTATTAAAAAACCACCACTGAGATAATACATCTGCCACTCAGAACTGTTTTTGTTTCAGAATATAAGATCCAAGGGACAGGATTGGTTATGCACCTTATTGGAAAAGGAACAAACCCCCAACTTAGTAGTAGAATATGATGCAAAGTGAATTGCATGTTTCCTTATGGCACTAGGCTACTGAACAGATGCATTACACGGGCTTGACAGTTTCTTTTGAAACATCAGGCATTGGATATTCTCTGAGAATGCCAGAGGCCTTGTCTGCACTACAGGGGAAATTCAGTCTAAGCTATGCAAATTGAGTTATGTGAATAGTGTAATGGGACAGATTACAACATGGGTTTACGAAAGGCAGATCGTGCCAAACCAACCTGATCTCCTTCTTTGAGAAAGTAACAGACCTTCTAGATAAAGGAAATGCGGTGGATCTAATATACCTCGATTTTAGTAAAGCGTTTGATACGGTACCACATGAGGAATTATTGGTTAAATTAGAAAAGATGGGGATCGATATAAAAATCCAGAGGTGGATAAAGAACTGGTTAAAGGGGAGACTGCAGCGGGTAGTACTGAAAGGTGAACTGTCAGGTTGGAGGGAGGTCACCAGTGGGGTTCCTCAAGGTTCGGTTTTGGGTCCGATTTTATTTAATCTATTTATTACTGACCTCGGAACCGAATGTAGGAGTGGGCTTATAAAGTTTGCGGATGACACAAAGTTGGGAGGCATTGCCAATTCGGAGAAGGATCGGGATATTCTGCAGGGAGACTTGGATGACCTTATAAATTGGAGTAATAATAATAGGATGAGATTTAATAGTGAGAAGTGTAAGGTGATGCATTTAGGGATGACTAACAAGAATTTTAGTTATAAGCTGGGGACGCATCGGTTGGAAGTGACGGAGGAGAAGGACCTCGGAGTCCTGGTTGATCGCAGGATGACTATGAGCCGGCAATGTGACGTGGCTGTGAAAAAAGCTAATGCGATCTTGGGATGCATTAGGCGAGGTATTTCTAGTAGGGACAAGGAGGTGCTGCTTCTGTTATACAAGGCGCTGGTGAGACCTCATTTGGAGTACTGCGTGCAGTTCTGGTCTCCTATGTTTAAAAAGGATGAACTCAAACTGGAACGGGTACAGAGAAGGGCCACTAGGATGATCCGAGGAATGGAAAACCTTTCCTATGAAAGGAGACTCGAGGAGCTCGGTTTGTTTAGCCTAACCAAAAGAAGGCTGAGGGGGGATATGATTGCTCTCTTTAAATATATCAAAGGGATAAATACCAGGGAGGGAGAGGAATGATTTCAGCTCAGTACTAATGTGGACACGAGAACGAATGGATATAAACTGGCCGTGGGGAAGTTTAGGCTTGAAATTAGACGAAGGTTTCTAACCGTCAGAGGGGTGAAATTCTGGAACAGCCTTCCGAGGGAAACGGTGGGGGCGAAAGACCTCTCTGGCTTCAAGATTAGGCTAGATAAGTTTATGGAGGGAATGGTTTGATGGGATAACGTGATTTTAGTCAATTAGGCAATAACGTGCCATCGCTGGTAAAATGTGGGTCCGGCTGGAGAATCTTGCCTGTATGCTCGGGGTTCTACTGATCGCCATATTTGGGGTCGGGAAGGAATTTTCCTCCAGGGTAGATTGGCAGAGGCCCTGGAGGTTTTTTGCCTTCCTCTGCAGGATAGGGCAGGGGTCGCAAGCTGGAGGATTCTCTGCGACTTGAAGTCTTTAAATCACGATCTGGAGACTTCAACAGCTGAGATAAGGGAAATTGGGTGGGTCAGCTTTTGTGGCCTGCATCATGCGGGAGGTCAGACTAGATGACCATAATGGTCCCTTCTGACCTTAAAGTCTATGAGTCTATGAGTCTAAATCGACGTAGCTTAGATCTACTTACCGCGGGGTCCACACTACGAGATATCGATGGGAGAGTGATCTACAGTCGATTGAGTGGGTCTTGACTAGACCTGCTAAATCAACCACTGATGCATCAATCGCCACTCATGGATCCCCTGGTAAGTGTAGACAAGCCCTGAATAACATTTTCTGTGCTTCTCTAAGGAAAACCCACATGCACACTATGTACACCATAAACAGATTAAAAGCAGTAAACAGCTAGTTTCAAAAAGTAATTGATTCTCTTTGATTTAGATAATCACACACGAAAAAACAAGAACATTTGTTTCATGTAGGTGGTTTATTGTAAGATAATTTACAAATATTTTCAGGTTTTCCCCATTAATTCTTCACAGAATGATGGACCAACAGTTTTATCAATATGGATATAAGCAGGTTAAACCAACTCTCTAGAATAGCTCCTCGTTTCTTTACCTATAAAAATACAAGAAAAAAGTTTACACACGTATCAAGAGTATCTTTAAGTGTGCATATTACATTATCTCCACTGTCTTTTCATGCTGCCCCACAAGCTTTTAACAGTTTTCTCACTTCAAATGCCCTCTCTGTCCTCCTAATTCTTCTTTAAACCCACTTCTTTCATAATCGTTTTAATATCAATTTCTGCATTCCTACTACTGTAAATTCTTCAGGGGGTAGGACAGTGTCTTGTCTGTATATTTGTAAAATGTTGTGTATGCTTATGGTGCTGTAACATTTAAAATGAATGATTATTTAAGGGAGTTCAGTGGCTCAAGGATATTGAATTAAACTATAAATAGGGTCTGAGTATTTGTGGACTTGTATACATTGTGTGAAGTATGGATCACTTTCAATTCATTCCCTTTCCCCACACATTATGTGCATTAAAGCTCTCTAGAACCATAAGGCACAATATTATAACCCTGTTATATATCATAGAATATCAGGGTTGGAAGGGACCTCAGGAGGTCATCTAATCCAACCCCCTGCTCAAAGCAGGACCAATCCCCAGACAGATTTTTGCCCCAGATCCCTAAATGGCCCCCTCAAGGATTGAACTCACAACCCTGGGGTTAGTAGGCCAATGCTCAAACCACTGAGCTATCCCTCCCCCCATCTATGGCAGCGTAGAGCAATACTGATGTTTAAAAACAATTTTCTATGGTACCACTGTTGACAAGATGCTATCTACGCTCTAATTACAGATGGGCCCACGCCAGTCACTTCCCAAACGATTTCTCCAAAAGTTTAGGAGAAGAGGGCACTTAAAATTCAGATTTCTATGTTGCAATTCAGACATATTTCTCATTAACTGGTTCAGGATCATCAGTGCCGAACCATTTTTTTTGGAAGAATCTAGTTTCTACTTCATCACTTTACCTCTCGACTTTGGCTGGAACTTGCTTTCCGATTATCCCCTGGTAATGTTGTTATGGGAAAAAACAGAACAAGCAGGTTAAGAAGCAACGCATGCAAACTAAGGCAAAGTTATTCTTGTGATTTAACCAAGGATGTGTCACTGAGCAGCCAAATTAAATACAAACTAAAGAGCTCATTAAAAACGCGCATACATGCAGTTGTGGCACAAGCTGGTTTCCGCCATTTCTGTACACACATTAGTTATGAATGCATTGATCTATATCTTTAATTAGAACACAAGTCTGCATCTAATCAGCAGATTAATTTAAATTAATTCGGTGCAAGTAAACCAATTATATGCGTTTAAGCACAACCACCTCTTATCGCCCATAGCGCACAGTGTTCTGCAGTTCCTAGCAGAGTGGCAAAGTTTGGTATTTGTCAGCGAAACACACAAGAGCTAAACTGGTTTTATTTCATTAAAATGCGCATTTACATTCAACAAGCTAAAGTTCCATCCAACAGAAGTTATCCCTCACCTTCTAATCCACACAGCAGGCTGATCTATACAGAAGAAAGGCCAATCTGCTATGTAGGCTCCCCAAAACAAGAATCTACACTACACCAGAGAGAGTTTTGGGGCTGTTTGAGCCAAGGGTGGATGAAAAAAGGCCCAGGTAATTACACCCATAGTATGGGGAAGACATGGGTGTCCACTCAAAGGTGGGGAGAGGCAGGGAAAAGAGACACTTCCCATGAACACGATGCAGCTTCATGGCTACAGAATCTTCTATACCAGCTAGCAGCTGCTGAGGCAAAGTTTGAGCTGAATGCAGGCTTTAAGCATCATACCAGTCATTGGAATTTGTTAAAGCAGAATAAAGAACTCTTCAAGTATCAATGCATCATTTTTTCCTTTCGTTTTAGAACAGCTGTTCCTCCACCCTACCTATTTAATACAATGTAAACAGCAGGACATTTGAACATTAAAACAATCTAAGTGAAAAGCCTTGTTGCAGATTTATACAGATACTTACAGAGCAGCAGCGCCAGAAATGATCTCAATAAGCTCCTTGGTGATGACAGCTTGACGGGTACGGTTGAATGTCAAGGTCAATTTGTCAATAATCTCAGCTACAAATAAAAATTGAAATTTAGATGGTAGACTCTGGAAATGGAAAAAACACTTCCCTTTGATCTACTTGAGCAGAACACAGTACAACACTTAATTCACACCAACAACTGGGCGACCCATTGCAATTTACTAAATATTGTTAACCACCAAGGAAAGGAAAAATAAAGGGGACTGCATGCCAAGATGTATTCTGGTACCTTATTTTGTCAGCGGAAGGTCAGCTTTAATTATAATACCTCAAACTAGTGAATGCAATGTGGTGTCATTTGTTAAAGCAATCTAATATTTATGGTATGAGACCTCACTATCTGCTATTCAGTCTCCTGTAGCTGTGCTGCAATGCGCTCCCCCATGGGTAGCTATACTGAAAAGGAAAAGCTGCAGTTGTATAAGCAAGTTACCACTGTTCTGACCAGCAGAAATGTCTAATTGGGAATCTTCCTTGTCTCCATTAATTCCTTCTTGGAGCTGGAGATGGACTTCCCTCATGTGTTGAGGGCAGGAGGCCAGCAAGGAAACGTACCCAAACTCCTTATGTTCCCCTCTCCCTCACATAATAGGGGCTTTCTGAATTCACTGTGCTATTCTCCGCACAATGTGACTGCATATTTAAAAACATCCTTACCTCTGCGTACTAAAACTGAAAGCAATTTGCTTTCCCTCATTAGTGACGATTGCTCACTTTTTGCTTTGCACTCAGCTTAGACAATAAAAATGGACGCATGGGTCTCATTTATGATTGATGCACCAGCATAAGGCTGAAATGTTTGGGTTGCAAACACTGAAAGGGAGATGTTTAAATCCAAACAGTAATTTTTCCCTTGGAATTAAACAAAAAGAAAAAAAGCAAGCATAGAAGCTCTTGATCGTAGGCTGTGCAAAACCATTTTGTTTTACACACACACACACACACACACACACACACTTACATTTTGGGTCTAAATTAGAGCTGATCAAATACTATAATATTTTAGTTAGCATTTTGAGGGTTTTTTTAAATTAAGTCATCCAAAAAGTACCTATGGCTGCAAGTTCCACCCCGTTTGCCACCCTGCAGTACCTTACTCCAAAAACTTAGTGGTTGTGGCCAGACTAGGAAAAAAAAATTTGATTCAACTCCTAAATTCTATTGCTTGTCCACCAACTTGCTGTGTGACCTTGGGTAAGATATTTAAACATTTGCTTCAGTTTCCCCAGCTATAAAATTGATGCCACAGTAATTGCAATGGGTTTGAGAGGCTTAATTAAAAGTATACGGAGCTTTTTGAAATCTCAAATCAACAGACACTGAAAAAGCGTAAAGTCCTCGTGGCAGTCATAGGGCCAGCCCAGTACTTTACGCTGTTACACAGGAATCCTGAATTCCACTTCTCGCCAGAGCCTCTTGCTTTCATATCAAGAGAACTGGGTACCAAGAATATAATGTCACTGAACAGCAGCCCCCTTTTTCTTAGGTACTGAGTAAGGCTGATGTGTCTGGAAGGGCGGTATTGGCTGAAGAGATAGCAACTAGGATTGTGGGACATGAAGAGTAGGGGGATGGGCTAGAATAGCAAACACTGAAAATGTACAAGCGAGATGGTGAACTTCTGCTTAATCCTGCTAAAGTCCTGTAAACGCCCCCGAGAGTATTCTTACAAGCATTTTTGCTAGCGTTGTCCATAGCAGTCATTCTGGCACTCTGCTCGCTGGTGGTAGATTCCTTCAGAGAGTAGAAGAGGATGTTTGCTAATGTAAACTCCTGGTAGTTTCGCAGCACGTCAGCATCAATATCATCATAGATACTAATGCTTTCTGTAAGAATAGGTAAGAGTGGAGATTAAAAAAAACCCCCAAAACTAGTCACATCCTACTGAAGATACTGTGGCATTAAAAGTTACTGACGTGTTTTTGCTTCCTAGCACCCAACCTCGTTCACACTGAAATCAAATTTTATTTTAATTTCAACAACTTCTTGTTTGAAATAAAATAAGCAAAATCAAGTCCCTGTCAACAGAGGCCAAATCCCAAACTATGCTAATGTGGTAGTAAAAAAACCCCAAAACAACTTAACTTAAAAATCCCACCCTCACAAATGACATCCTTGGATTGCCAGACATTTAAGTACATAACCCCATTTTGCTTACATTTGCCTGGTTGTGTTATGACAACTAACTGACAGACCATGAAAGATATGGTCTTTCAAGAGTTTGATTCATTGAATTGGACTGCATAGTTAAATCTTACCAGCACCAGCAACTGTATCAAGAGAGTAGAAAGGTTTTTCATCTGTCTTGTAGGAGATGACAGACCTACATGAGACAAATGATTTTTAAAGATCTTTATTACTGTAAAAAAAAGTCTCTACTGTAATTCTGATCTAAAAATTGATGAAAAACACTTTTGTTTTCCAAAACCTGAGATTAGCATTCCGTGGTGCTGTTGTGAACACTGACACCTCAAACAACCAAGAACAGAAAACTTCTTATACTACTTTTGTTGTAACACCATCAACTATAACGGGAATAAAGAACAGAACCCAGAACATAGCTCTTGGCAGGTATGTGCTTTCGAGTAATTGTTAAAGCACATCTAAGCTTACACATGTATTATGATTATTTGAAATCTTGACCTTTTTAAACAAAAAAATAAGCATGTCAGATCACCATGAGTTTTCAGATGTTGTAACTGGACTAACATACCACTTCCATATATTGTATGAGTCTACATAAAACCTTCCATCCCACTTTTCTATGCACTCTTAAAACAAAAGAAAGACATTTGAAGACCAGTCTCAGTTTATCTTGCCTGAATCGATTGTAGATGACAGATCCTTCATCGAATTCATATCCAGAGTTTAGCAGCTCTAAGGCAATCGCTGAAGCATCTCCAAAGCTGGGGGGTTTTCTTCCCACTTCTTTGAATGTCACCAGGAAATGTTTATTATGTGTCCTAAAATAAAACCAAGCCTGTGTAAAACCCTAGCCAATGTGCTATTGTAGAACCCAACTATAGGCCTTGATTTAGGTAAACACTTAAGCCCATGTTTCGCTTTAAGCACACAAATAGACCCACCGACTTTAAATGGGACTACTGGTGTGCTTATAGTTAAGCATATGCATCAGTGCTTTTCTGGATTGGGGCCTAGGTGAAAGGAATTTTAGTTATTTAAAATTTGGCTCACTGGAATTGCTTCATGAGATGTACCTCTAACTTTTACAATAGTGAGAGTCTAGTCAGCAATCACATTCTCATTCCAACATAGTTCAATACAGTGCAACAATTAACACAGAACACAATTCAGCAAAAAGAACTTTAGCATAATTGCAGGAATTTGTTTTACAGAAACTTGATTTTTTTTCACAGCCATTTTAAAATAAATTAGCCTACGCATTCCAAGCTGTTTATTAAAGGATAGCCCTGAAGTTTCTACTATAGAAAATTTAAAGCAGTGCTCACCAACCCATCGATCGCGATTGGCTGGTTGATTCTGGAGACTCTCCCAGTCGATCGCGATCTCCAGCCGCGGCAACATAACGGGGCTGCCTGCCGTGGCCCCATGCCGCTCCCAGAAGCGGCCAGCACACGGGGGAGGGGTCTCCGCGCACTGCTCCTGCCTGCAAGCACCGCCCCCGCAGCTCCATTGGCCGGGAATGGGGAGCTGTGGCCAATGGGAGGTGCGGGGGCGGTGCCTGCAGAGAGGGGGAGCACGCAGAGTCATGTGTTCCCCGCAGGAAACGCAGGGGTACGATGGCCCCTTCCAGGAGTGGCATGGCCATGTGGTGCACTGCTGGCTGGCAAGGTGGCCCGGCTTGTGATGGGAAAGGGGGGCTGATGTGCCTGAGAGGGGCCGAGGCAGGGAGTGAGCCTGCCTTAGCCCCACTACGCCGCCAACCGGAAGCCCCCCTGAGGTAAGTGCTCCCCAGCGGGAGCCCACACCCCAACCCCCTCCTGGAGCCAGCACCCGATACCCCCCCGCCCTAGCCCTGAGCCCCCTCCCAGAGCCAGCAGCCCACAACCCCATGCACCCCAACACTCTGCTCCAGCCCGGAGCCCCCTACTGCACCTATACTCCCTCCCCAGAGCTTGCACCCCTAACCCCCTCCTGCACACCAACCCCCTGCCCCAGGCTCAGCCCGGAGCTCTCTCCCACACTGTGAATCCCTCAGCCCCATCCCAGGGCCCACACCCTCATCCAAACCCCAACCCCCTCCCCCAGCCCAGTGAAAGTGAGTGAGGGTGGGGGAGACCGAGTGACCCGGGGGGGGGGGGGGGGAGGAGGTGGAGTGAGCGGGGCAGGGCAGATCCTGGGTTGCCCTTAAATTCAAAAAGTGATCTTAGGTGTAAAAAGGTTGGAGACCACTGATTTAAAGCATTACTACTCAAAGATTACCTTTGAAGCAGGCCTCTTAACTTGTCACCCACTCCAACCACCATGACCTCTTTCCCTGCATCTGAGAGGGTGCTAATTTCAGTTTTCATGGCTTTAGCAACAGAGGTATGGATAGCACCACAGAGACCACGATCAGAGGACACACCAATAATGAGGTGTTTCTTCTTGTCTTCGGGGACCTTAATTTCTGCTTTCTCATAGAGAGCTGGGGGGGGGGGGGAAGAGAGAGAGAGAGTAGGAAAAGTTGCATTCAAGCATTCATCCTTAGCAATGTCTCTTAAGAGACACTTTGACATTGACTAAACATATTAGCACCTATTCTGACTAGAACCATTTCTAAAGGGATGCCATTCACACTTTTGTCTAGTTTTTTTTGTCTGCCTATTGATGATATAATTAACCCTTAAGGTTATTATAACAGACACAGAAAGATACTTTTTAAATAATGGTTTACTCCTGTGCATTTGGCTGCGCTCTGTGTCTAGTCAGTTTCACTGTTGTGTTGATGCATTAGTCTTGTCCATCATTCCAAAGTTGGCTCAGGTGCATGCTCTCCCCCATGCTTTGCAATAGCGTGTTTACCAGTAACAGCAAAGTTTAAACTGAAGATGTACCAAACAGGCACATGAGTGCAGAAAGAGGACAAGAAAAGAGAGGAGGTGGGCCCCAAATTATTAGGTGTTGCTGTTTCCGAGCTAACCCAAAAACATTATAACCATTATAAACATAGACGGGGAGCAGAAATTCCCTTATGTTTTCCAAAAAGCTTTTACAAGTTAGGACATAATATTTAAGGGAAGCTAACAGAAAATGAATTTAAAAATATTTAAAGTTCACATCGTCTCTAAGATATGGATTCTCCTTTGGAAAGTCTTCCCCAGAAAGTTTGATAAGCATATAGGGGATTTAGGAGCACAAGTCTTATTGAAATTCTCCCCCTCAATTCTTATGTCAGATACCACACAGACAATTTCTCTTACCCAAGGATCCTACTCCATACACTCTAGCTGGTTTCAGTTCCCTCTCAGCTCTGGCATACTTAGCTGCAGCAACCATCTTCATGGACTTTGTAATTTTCTGGATGTTCTTGATGGACTTTAAACGCCTGGTAACTACAAGCATTTGAGGGTTAAAATTGGGCTAAAGTTTCTAGCAGTCACAAATTAATCAGCTTCTATACGATAGAGAGAGAGATGACAATATAAAAAAATTCAAGTGAGATTACATTTACAGTTCTGTTTAAACTAGCAAAATAATAAAAACAGTAATTTAGACAGAATGTGAGCCCCACTTTTTCCTATAAATGGAATAGACGGTCAGTTTTCAGAATGGAGAGAGATAAATAGCAGTGTCCCTCAAGGATCTGTACCGGGTCCAATGATGTTCAACATATTCATAAATAATCTGGAAAAAGGGGTAAACAGTGAGGAGGCAAAGTTTGTAGATGCAAAATTACTCAAGATAGTTAAGTCCAAAGAAGATTGTGAAGAGTTACAAAGGGATCTCTCAAAACTAGGTGACTGGGCAACAAAATGGCAGATGAAATTCAATGTTGATAAATGCAAAGTAATTGGGGAAAACATAATCCCAACACACCTAAAAACTAACACCTTCTGTTAGTCTTAAAGGTGCCACAGGACCCTCTGTTGCTTTTTACAGATTCAGACTAACACGGCTACCCCTCTGATACTAAAAATGATGGCATCTAAATTAGCTGTTACCACTCAAGAAAGAGATGTTGGAGTCGTTATGGATAGTTCTCTGAAAACATCAGCTCAATATGCAGCAGCAGTCAAAAAAGCGAAAAGAATGTTAGGAACCATTAGGAGAAAGGTAGATAATAAAACAGAAAATATCATAATGGCACTATATAAATCCATGGTACGCCCACACCTTGAATACTGCATGCAGCTCTGGTCACCCCATCTCAAAAAAAGATACACTAGAAATGGAAAGGGACAGAGAAGGGCAACAAAAATGATTAGGGGTATGGAACAGCTTCTATATGAGGAGAGATTAAAAAGACTGGGACTACGCAGCATGGAAAAGAGGAGTCTAAGGGGGGATATGATAGAGGTCTATAAAATCATCAATGGTGTGGAGAAAGTGAATAAGGAAGTGTTATTTACTTCTTCACACAACACAAGAACTACAGGTCACCCAATCAAATTAATAGGCAGCAGGTTTAAAACACACAGTCAACCAATGGAACTCATTGCCAGAGGATGTTGTGAATGCCAAAACTATAGCTGGATTCAAAAAAGAACTACATAAATTCATGGAGGCTAGGTCCATAATGGCTATTAGCCAAGATGGTCAGGGATGCAACCCCATGCTCTGGGTCCTTAAGCCTCTGAGGGCCAGATGCTGGGACTGGATGACAGCGGATGGATCACTTGAAGATTGCCTTGTTCTTTTATCCCCTCTTAAGCATCTGGCACCGGCCACTGGGCTAGATGTACCATTGGTCTCACCCAGTGTGGGCATTCTTATGTTCCTAAATAAACGTGTATAGAACTAATCCTGTAGTGCATTTACCTGGAGAACAGACTCTTTCTACAGAAGAGACATTTTTCATATCTCCAAAAACAGAGAATGATGCAGTCGGGGTTTAAGCTAACGCTCTATTCATGTAGGCCTTACTTTTCCCCTTCTGTCTCTATCTTTTTCATGAATGCACCTCTCGAGTTATCGTGCCTATTCCCTGAAGTAAATGCAGCTCAATATTTTAAAGACACACAGTCACATGTGGTCCCAAGTTTAGATTTTGGCAAAGCAAGCACATTTTTATACAAGGCAAGACTTTTAGAAATGTTACTATGAATAAAAAAAAAACTGAAAGAAATGGAAAAGGATTTCAAAAAGACAAAGACTAACTAAATTCCCCTGCAGTATTTGTGCTAGACATTGGAAATCTTTACTAATGCATGAAAACCTAAAAGAGTGATTTGATAAGATGAAAAACAAGTAAAACTGACAGGTTTGTTTTTATTGTCCAAAGTGAGAGAAATACACAAAGTCTACAAAAACAAACAGAAAAGTAAATTCAATTTTTAAAATTATTTGTTTTAGTAAGCAAAAACGTCAGCAAAGATTGTTTTGAAGTTATGCTTTTAACTTAACAGTGTCTTTAAAACAAATCAGTTTCCTTAAAAAACATTTACCTTTTATTGAGTGATGTCTTTTTTGAAGGAAGACTGATTAATTATGGGTAAATTCATGCTTATGAAAACAAGAAGCTGACAGCATTGACTAGAAATGGTCACAGGGTAAGCAGCTTCTCTTTACAATTTAATCGGTGACTGCCGGCTTATTCTCCCAAACACAGATCAGCCAGCAAGTGATTTTGTGATTGCAAGTTACAAGGAGTGCTGACCCTCCAGAATCAGGTCATGGCTGAAACCAGTTGACCCTTGTTTATCAAGTCTACATTTAAACCTTACTTATTTGGAGGAGTATGAGTTTATTAGTGCATTGTACCACCTAGTCCCAATATTATTATGACACTAATTTTGCCATTTTCAAAAAGAAGTTTAGCAACTTAATGACCAAAATGAGAAACTACAATATTAAGGTTTGGAAAATAGAATAAAGTTAAAGGCAGGCACAACAGCCTTCTCTCAAAGTCGTTGGTTTTTGTAAACATGCATATGAAAAATAACTTATTTCTTGTATTTAGTTTTAAACTACTCATGCACTTGCCTTTTTTAATTTCAGTTACATATCCTTATTCTGGTCTACCCACACCAGTAACGGAGCTTTTCTGTTTAAGTACCTTCTGCAAACACAGGACTGTGAAGACCCTCTTATGACGGTGATAAATTGTCTAAAATGACAAAGTCTCCCATCTGGCAGAGCTGGTCTTCTGACCAACACAACTTCAAAGTCTCCAAGTCCACATTTTTGAATTTACAAACAGAGACATTTTCCTTCATAATCAATTTACTGAACCGAGACCGTTACAGTTTGAGTTGATATTGCATTTTAAGAATGCTCCTCTGCAACAGAAAGGGATCTAGGGGTTATAGTGGACCACAAGCTAAATATGAGTCAACAGTGTGATGCTGTTGCAAAAAAAGCAAACGTGATTCTGGGATGCATTAACAGGTGTGTTGTGAGCAAGACATGAGAAGTCATTCTTCCGCTCTACTCTGCGCTGGTTAGGCCTCAGCTGGAGTATTATGTCCAGTTCTGGGCACCGCATTTCAAAAAAGATGTGGAGAAATTGGAGCAGATCCAGAGAAGAGCAACAAGAACGATTAAAGGTCTAGAGAACATGACCTATGAAGGAAGGCTGAAAGAATTGGGTTTGTTTAGTTTGGAAAAGAGGAGACTGAGAGGGGACATGATAGCAGTTTTCAGGTATCTAAAAGGGTGTCATAAGGAGGTGGGAGAAAACTTGTTCATCTTAGCCTTAAAGGATAGAACAAGAAGCAATGGGCTTAAACTGCAGCAAGGGAGGTTTAGGTTGGACATTAGGAAAAAGTTCTTAACTGTCAGGGTGGTTAAACACTGGAATAAATTGCCTAGGGAGGTTGTGGAATCTCCATCTCTGGAGATATTTAAGAGAAGGTTAGATAAATGTCTATCAGGGATGGTCTAGACAGTATTTGGTCCTGCCATGAGGGCAGGGGACTGGACTCGATGACCTCTCGAGGTCCCTTCCAGTCCTAGAGTCTATGAATCTATGAACACATCCCATTCCTCCCATCTCCTACCATATTATAAACAAATCAGAAGTACTTACTGTCCTTCAAAGTGGCCATATTCCTGACTTGGCCCCTGAAATTTAACAGAAACATTGTGTGTTAAGTGCTACTCCAACAAGTCACTACAGTCTCGTATTTTCCAGAGATGAGAGAATTATATTTGCAAATGTAAAAATGGGTTGTTGCTTCTTAATGAAGCTACTACAGAAAACACACTTCATTCTGTGTTGATTCATATTCTGCACCTTATTAATATCTTCTCTTTTTCCTTTCTTCCAAGGCAGAGCACATCTTTGTTTGATACTTTATTGCTATGCAATGCTGATTAAATGTATCATACAGCATTGTACAGTACCCACTATCCCGAAGAAACTGTTATTGATGGTCAGCTATAAACAGGGGATAGCAGGGAGGAAATCTCAGAGAAGGGAGGAAACCGACATCCATAACTTCAAAAGATACAAGGGCATCTATGATAATTAATGAGTAAATGGATGATATCTCCCTTCAGTATTTGATAAGATCACTGTGATGTTCGCAGCCTCTGTCACCTACAAGGGCAGGTTAGCTTTTCTCTTTTTTGCCAGGCATTGTTCATCTAACCCTAAAATTTATAACCCCCGCTACTATAAACTCACTTCTTTCAGCTGGCCTCCCACCACTAACTGTCCACCTGCTCACATGCTTCACCTGATAAATTATATGAATTAAATTACAGGTCTAACATTATAATTTAAAAGAAAAACATTTAAAATAAAATGTCAGACAAATTGGACTGGATTTTACATTCCCTCCTGCCACCTTCCTTAATCTGTTTTTCATCTATCAAGCATGTATGATCTTTGGGGCAGTGAACCTGTCTTCCCTGGTAGGTTAAAGCAGCAGCAACGTCCAGATAAGCGATCTTTCATTCTAGCTACATTACGGTAAAATCCTCCTTATCTGAGCAGCCCCCCTCCCCAAGCTTTACAGAACAGAACAGCCCTGCGGACCCCACGCCCCTTAACCTTGCGCCTAGCTCCTATCCCCATCAGTGGGGTTTGACCAGAGAGAAGGGCCTGGCCTGACAGAGGCTCAGTGCATCGCCCCGATGCTCCAGCTCCCCTGGAAGTGACTGCGCTGGGGGGAAAGGAGCAAGGGGAGCTCCCAGGGGGTGGAGCTGGGCCACTCCTGGTGCAGCCCCCTGCCCTGTTCATTGACCAGGCAAGAGCCAGGTACTGGGGTGTTCGGGTGCCCCTCCACACCCCTACCCAGCCCCGCCCCCTGCACCACCACCCCCCCGCCCTGCACAGCTCCCTCCCCCTTATCCTCAGCCCCCCCCGCTCCCCGCCCCCCCACCCGGCCGCCCTCCGCTCGTCCCCAGGCCCGATGCTCCCTGGGCCGCCGCACCTCCCTCGCCGCATCCCAACCCCGCGGTCCCGCTCGCTCTCGGCACCCGCAGGCCCGGCTCGCGCCCCGTTACCATTGCGGCTGGTAGATCAGGACGGCGGCTCCTCGGGAGAACATGGCGACGCCTCTCCCCGCTGCTGGCTGCTGCCGCCCGGCTGAAGGTCAGAGCCTCCGCACTGCGCACGCGCCGCGACCGACAGGGGCGGGGCGAAGGGCGTTCTCGTGGCTGGCCGGCGGAAGACGTTCCGGGGTCGTGTCCTTCCGCTTCCGGTCGGGGCTGAGGCTGGGGGGTCGCGGCTGGTTGCCGCCGCCGCTGCTGCCGCCATGGGGAAGTCGGATTTCCTGAGCCCCAAGGCCATCGCCAACCGCATCAAGTCCAAGGGGCTGCAGAAGCTGCGGTGGTACTGCCAGATGTGCCAGAAGCAGTGCCGGGATGAGGTGAGCCGGCGCGGCGGGGGCAGGACGGGGGGATGCGGGGCAGGGCAGGGGAGCTGGTCCGGGGCTGGGGAGGTGTAGGGCAGCGGAGGTGGTCCGGGAGCCGGGGGGGGACGGTCCGGGGCTGGGAAGGTGTAGGGCAGCGGAGGTGTTCCGGGAGCCGGGGGGATGGTCCGGGGCTGGGGAGGTGTAGGGCAGCGGAGGTGGTCCAGGAGCCGGGGGGGATGGTCCGGGGCTGGGAAGGTGTAGGGCAGCGGAGGTGGTCTGGGAGCCGGGGGGGTGGTCCGGGGCTGGGGTTGGGGAGGTGTAGGGCAGCGGAGGTGGTCCAGGAGCTGGGGTGGGGGGATGGTCCGGGGCTGTGGTGGAACAGGCTGGGAGACTATATTAGGGGGCTGGGACTCTGGCCGTAAGTAGGAGTATGGCCCCTGGCTAGGGTAGGGGGCTGTGTCGGGAGGAGGCGGGCTAGGAGACCCATTAGGGCGGAGCAGGGCAAGGGCCCCTTCCACGTCTGGGGTGGGTAGGACTTGGCTCGTCCCTGTCTGCAGCGAAGCGCTAACGGGAGCCCAGTGCCATCGAGCACGGGAAGGGGAGCATCGCCCTCAGCAACAACACAAACCTCGTAGAAACACAATCCCTGTTGAACAGGAGTTCTCAAACTGGGGGGTGGTGATCCCTCAGGGGGCCGCAAGATGGTTACATGGGAGTTGCGAGTTGTCAGCTCCGTAGGGCTGACAGCCGCGAGCCCCCATTAAATTAAATTACCTCCCTCCCGTTTTTTAATTTGTAAAGGGGGCTACAGTCAGAGGCTTGCTTTGTGAAAGGGTTCACTAATTTAAAAAAATTGAAAACCACAGCTATTGAAAGACTTGTAATAAAGACTTACATGTATCTGTAGCAAAGGAAGTGTCTTTTACATAACTATTTTTTTTCTTTTGCCTAAATCAATGCTAATGCATATCAGAGGAGGCTATACGTTCAAATACAATTCAATAAACTAACATGATCTGTCTTAAGTCAATACTCAGCATTATAATAATCCACACAAAACAAATTAATAAAATACACTGGATAAGATTTAATTATTTTGCTTGACATTTGTTTCACATGCCTTTGAAAAACAACTGTAAGTGTATTATATTAATAAACAGAGTGAAAGGCTGAGTTCTGCTGCAGCTTTTGCAAGTATCACTGTCCTCTGATGAAATGCTTTTATTAACTTCCTCCAGTAATAACCTTGACAATTTCACAATCAGTAATATACTAGTGCACTAGATTTTCTCTCTTCTTTAGTAGAAGGTCATCAGTATCACAAATACTTGGACAAATTGGGGCATTATTAGTCCGTTCCACTTTCATTGTTGTAGCACTGAACTCTAGCAAATATGTTAGAACTTGTAATGAGCTCTGTCTTCACTTGTGACACTGACATTCTGCCTGATATGTGTTCTGTCCTAAAAATACAAGTCCCATATCACTTTATCTGTTGAACGCAGACCATGTGCTCAATGCAGAACACAGAATGATATCCCCTATGGACACTCACTACCTTACGATCAAGCTCTTGGGTCCCAATGTGACAAACGCTTATGCATGTACTCGGTAGGACTAATCAGGTGAGGAAAGTAACCACTTTGCTATTATAGCTTCAGGATTAGGACCTAAAGGCTTGATCCTAAGGTGCTGAGTGCCCATAACTTACATGGAAATCAAGGGAAAATGCAGGTGCTCAATACCCCTCAGGACCAGACCATAAAAAACACATCAGGATAATGAGCATTAGCTGACTGGGAAATAGAATAATCAAATAGCAGTGCAGCATTACTAAAAATAAAATCTCTTATGCAAGAGGAGAGCTAAAACTAGGTAGGCATCACAGAAGAAGTGTTTTAAGGGATTTAAAAGAGAAGAGCATAGATTCTTGCTACATTGGGATGGAGAGGGCATTCTGGGCATAAAGGACCATTTGGAAAAAGGAAAAAAGGGAGTGTCTGGTGTGCGGGAGATGTGTTGGTGAAGCCAAGGGAATCTCCTTTCACTGTAACCATATTAGGGCTTATGACAAACATTTCACACTCCAGAAGCAGGAGTCATACAGTTGCTGCCTAAGCTCTGTTCTCCCACATTAGCGGCACTATGCAATGATGGTATTACCAGGAGTAAGTCAGTTTTATTTTTTAAAACTCTAACTTAGGTTTTGTTGGTGTTTAAAATGTCAGTTTACTGACTTCTGTAAGTCAAGATAATGTTTCTTTTATTTTACAGAATGGCTTCAAATGTCATTGTATGTCCGAATCCCACCAGAGACAGCTGCTACTTGCTTCTGAAGATCCTCAGCAATTCATGGATTATTTTTCAGAGTTAGTTTCTCAAACTTCCCCACATAGGCCTTGCTCCTGCAATTGAATCTGGGTGGTTGCATCCTGGTGCCCTCGTGGAGTCCCATTGAAAAAGCTGAATTTTAAAATTTTACTGTAGTGTTATTTGGTAGATACTTTTCAAACAGCAGTATGAAAAGTTAAGGGGTAAAAGTTTCAAAAGCATGTAAGTGATTTAGGACCGTAAGTCTCATTGCAACTCAATGGGGCTTAATCGTTTTTGAAAAATTTACCCTGTTTCTAAATATCTTTTTTTTAAACTTATTAGCCAGTCAGAATGCAGCACTTTGTTATTGTTAGTAACCCTCTGAAGTTATGTGTAGGGCCCTACCAAATTCACGGCCGTGAAAAATGCATCACGGACCATGAAATCTGGTCTCCCACGTGAAATCTGGTCTTTTTTTGTACTTTTACCCTATACTATACAGATTTCATGGGGGAGACCAATGTTTCTCAAACTAGGGGTCCTGACACAAAAGGGGGCTGCAGGGGGGGTCGGAAGGTTATTGTATTGGGGGGGGGGTTGTAGTATTGCCACCCTTACTTCTGCGCTACCTTCAGAGCTGGGTGGCTAGAGAGTGGCGGCTGCTGGCTGAGGGCCCAGCTCTGAAGGGAGCAGCGCAGAAGTAAGGGGGGCAATACTGTGACTCCTCCCAGCCTCCTTTTGGGTCAGACCCCTACAGCTGCAACACTGTGAAATTATGATTTCAGATATTTAAATCTGAAAATTTATGATTTTAAAATCCTATGATTGTGAAATTGACCAAAATGGACTGTGAATTTGATTGGGCCATCGTTGTATAGTAAGGAAATGTCAACCGGTAGAAGTTACTATTATTATTAATTTGTATTATCGCAGTGCCTGGGCGCCATAGTCATGGACCAGGACCCAATTGTGCTAGATGCTGTGGAAACACAGAACAAAAAGACAGTCCCTGTCCCAAAGAGCTTACAATCTACGATAAGAGACAACGGGTGGCTACAGACAGACAGGGAAGTACAAGGAAACAAGGGGACAGTATCAGCTTGATAGGCAGTGGTTTCAGCACATGAGCTGTGTAATTGACAAGGTTGTTTTAGACATCATCGCGAAGGAGAGTTTTGAGGAGTGATCTGGAAGTGGATAATAAGGTAGCTTTGCTGATGTTTATGGGGCGTGCCTCCCACTTGTGAGGGACAGCATGGGAGAAAGCACAAAAGTACTTTTTGAAAACTTCAATGTGTGATGGAGGTTGGCATCATAGGTTGATTGGAGGTGAGTCTCAACAGGGAATCAGAGATGGTGGGGACTGACTGTAGAGGGCCTAGAAAGTGACAACAAGTAGCGTATGTTTGATGCAATAGAGAAGGGGATATAGTGGAGGGATACAGAGGTGTGACATGGACAAAGGGATGGGTTAGGAAAATTATCTTAGCAACCGCATTCTGAATGGTTACGAATGAGAGAAGAGTGCCTTTATCAAGACCAGTGAAAAGGATGTAGCAGTAATGAGATGTGAGATTTTGAATGAGTGTTTTAGTTGTGTGGGTAGATAGGAAAAGCCATATCTTAGACATGTTATGTAGAAAGAATCAGCCACATAAGGACGTAACCTGGATGTGAGTACCCAGAGTGAGCTCCAAATCCAGGATGACACTCAGGTTATGGGCCTGCGTGACTGGCAGGATGGTGGTGGTGTCCACAGTAATCAAGAAAGGAGGTGGCAGGGAGGGCTTGCAGAGGGGAAGATTAAGAGCTCTGTTTTAGCCAAGTTGAGCTTGAGCTGTCAGCTAGGCAGCCAAAGGAATTGTCAGAGAGAGATTTTAGTTGAGACCCAAGGAGGCAGGTCTGGAGCAGAGAGTAGATCTGTGAGTTGTCGGCATAAAAATGGGAGCTGAATTTGTGTTACTGATGAGATTGCCCAGAGATAAGATAGAGAAGGGGACCAGCGACAGAGCACTGGGGAACCCCCACAGAAAGTTGGAGGGAGGATGAGGCGGATCCTCTGAAGGATCAATAAGTGAGGTTGGAGGAGAACCCTGCAAGGACAGAGTCACAGAAACCAAGGAAGGACAAGATTTCAAAAAGAAGAGCGTAGTTGATGGTGTCAAAGGCAGCTGACAGGTCAAGGAGGATAAAGGGTATGTCTACACTGCACACGCCTTATGGTGGCATATAAAGTATATACACTGCTCTCCCCCCACCCCCAGCACAGATAGAAATAGCATTGTAGATGGTGAGGAACTGATTAGGTGAGTGGAGTAAAGTCACGCCTGAACCCTTTGGGTATATACCCTACGTGGCTGTCTACACACCCAAGTAGCGCCTCTCCTGTTTTCACTGCTATTTTTAGTATAGTGTCCTGCTGCTTGAGTCTTTCCCTGCCCCGGGGAAAGGC